GGGAGCTGAGGAACCTGCGAGAACTGAATCAGAGGACCCGAGGGTATTTTCTCGGCGAGGACTCTCCGATGCCTAAATTAGCATTATGATTGTAGGGAGCTTGGAGAGAAATGAGAGAGCTAGAGAGCAAGGATTACCTCCATTTTTTCATCCTCTCTCCCTTGTCTTTGGGGGTCAGAGTCCTTATATAGTGGTGTCCTGTCAAATCAGGTGTAACAGCCTCTGTCAAGTCAGGCGTAATTGCCTTTGTCTATGTGCCGCAGCCGTTACTGCCAGAGCTGAGGTGGCGGCTGCTGTAGAGTACGGCTCTGCCAGTCAAGGGACAACTCTCAAGACTAGCAGGCACTGCGCCGACTAGCGAGAGACGTGGGCGCAGGCCTCCGAATCTGTCAGGTACGGTTGTCAGGCAGGAGATCTTCCTGCGATACGCCGAGCTGCCCCTAAGTGTCGAACTACCTATGCCGAGCTACCTGTAAGTGCCGAGCTGCCCCTAAGTGGCGAGCTCTTCGTAAGACGCCAGGCTGCCTNAGCTCTTCGTAAGACGCCAGGCTGCCTGCGGAGTGGCCAGCTGCCTGTGGCGAGCTGCCTATGCCGAGCTACCTGTAAGTGCCGAGCTGCCCCTAAGTGGCAAGCTCTTCGTAAGACGCCAAGCTGCCTGTGGAGTGGCCAGCTGCTTGTGGCGAGTTGCCTATGCCGAGCTCCCCGAGCTATGCCGAGCTGCCCGAGCTGTGCCGAGCTGCCCGAGCTACCCAGTTGTCAAGAGGCTGCACTTGGTTTGCATGAGGTGCCAGGTGTCACAATTTCACTGGAGGGCCAAATCCGCCCTCATCAAGAACGAATGTTAATTCGTTTAGGTCTCGCCATTATACGGACAAAAAAGTTATTATTGCAATAAGAAAAAGAATTTAATTTAATATAACTTTAAAATAACCTAGCAATCAAAAATAAAATCAAATTTCAGCCAAGACCTATATACAAAATGGTGAAAGAGGCAAACAATTGTTCTACAACTTAATTAAAATTACCTTGTATCTCAACAAATGAACCAACAGAAATTAATTTT